TACTTTCGCCTACCTGTGTAAAAGGATCAAATTGTAAGTCGCTCTGGATAAGAGCATCTGCCAAATGCCGTAAATGTAAGTTTAACAAAATTATATTATTCATGTTTATCAACGTCTCCTACAAAATTACCATTTAAGAAGTCACTCTAGCTGCAAAATGTAATTTTCCGTTTCATATAAAGTGCTTAAGCATCTAAAATGGCCTTGAAGCAGAAGTATACATTTGTGTTCTGGCAGAGACAGACAATGCATGGAGGGGCAAAAATACAGACAAAAATTTTAAAGTGAGTTCATCTTACTCTATTCTCTATATCAGCAGACATTTACAACCTGGTGACTGTTGTGGCCATAAATAATTATTATTTATTCTTATAATTCTTAATATCTTGCTATTGGTAGCAAGCTATCATCTTGCTACCCCTAAGCTAATAGGTTAGCTTGTTAGATAAGCTAACTAGCTTGCTGGGTAATGCAGGGTATATTTAGCTAGCTGTAGTTGGTTAGATAGCATTACACAGGTTCTGGTAGTTTTTAAAAATTATTCATACTTTAAAACTATCAATGGTCAGCACGTAATAGTCTAGCTCAACTTAACACAGCAAGCGTTTAGGCCTATCGACCTATGTAACCAGGACAAACTGGCATCATGCATCTGCCTGAAGACATCTGACTGGAACATATCATAGGCTATTGTGCCTTTTTCATGTCACTAGCATAACCCGAAAGAGCAGTAAGGAGTGAAACAGAATAGCTCAATTGTATCTGGAGTAAGGAGCGGCTTAAGGAAGCTGGGCTCCCTCCTGCTCCAAGATTGCTCTAATACCACCCCATGAGTGTAACACATGCTAAGTTCCTCAGCTCCACTACTGAAGCACTCAGGTTTGAGCTCTTGTTTGGTTTAACGTTGTCTCATCTTCCAACAAAAGCGCTGGGGTAATTACTTCGTAAAAAAATAGTCTCACTACTTACTTTAATTAAGTTAGTCTCTAACCTATGTGTTTGGAGGTGTGTTTGGAGTTGGGTTAGAGCAACAATGTGAACCTGTTGGAGAACTCTGAGATTGAGATTCAAGCATCTATACACTAACGACTATGAGCTGTGGTTCAGCTTAGTGTTTATTTTTTAAGTGTAACAATGCACCCCCCCCCCACCCCAGTGCATGCAAACATTGAAAAACTCCAGTTACCGCACCAAAGTTTGCAACCCTCTTCCACAAAACGTTTACTTCCTCACTTCCTATGTGGTTCTGTGCTATTACAAAGTTTAAACTTTGAGCCTGCTCACTAACTTTGACTCTGGACATAGATAGCCAGGTTTGGTTGCTTAAGAGAAGAAAATATCAGTGCAAACTTATTTTTACTGCACACCAGGAATGGAGTGACTACATCCCTCCTTGCATGTAGGCTACATCCTGTAAGGAATACATAAACACGTTTTCTGTTTTGTTAGTAACTCTGTCTGAGCGCCAGTAGGTCAGTGAAAGTGCTAAGCTAACTGTTTTGGGGTCAGCGCCAATTCTTCTCTCTGTGGTCCTTGAGAAAGGCTCCAGCCTTGACATGCAACAATATCTCTGTTGACACTACAGGACAGCACAGTCAGCAACAGGAAGTCAGCAGGCTCGCTAACAGGAAGTCCAGCAGCAGAACAACGGTCACAACAATCTGTCCATGGGGAAATAATCCAGCAGCACTGTCAGCGAAACTTGATTTGATTGCCTGGTGTGAAAGCAGCAAGAACAGTTATTACAGTGAAATGTTTTAACAAAGAGCAAAGCATGGTTTTACACCAGGATCTGACATTTAAACATTTGCACAAAGAAGCAGTATCATTACATCATTGTGTCAGTGCCACTTTTGTAACAGAGGAAAACTTAAGAAGTTATAACTTCAGATAATTTTCAAAATTAAGCTTCAGAAATGAGTATGCAAGTTATGTTAGAACTGACTTTGTATCAGAGGTATAGCCACAAGTAGGCCAATCAAATGGGGAAAGAATATTTATTAAGCTGCATCTTTTAAGATAATGACATTTGATTTGCTTTCAGTGAGTACAGTTATTGTATTGTGGCCAATCAAAATCATCATGCTTTCTGCAATGTGCAATGTATAGTCCAATCAACCAATCTCATGCTCCTTCAGTTAATAAATGTGCCAGTATTTAAATTTGAAGCAAAAGATGTCCCAGGGGTGGAGCAGTATGCTTTAGTCTGTGCTGATTAAGTGTTGGTTCTTAAGTTTGCTGTGTTGTTTTACCTCAACTTTGTGTATTTCATCTGTGTGTTTTTACCTCAGTTATGTTGTCTTCACTAGGTCTGCCTTCTGTAGCAGCATTGTTTAGCCTAGGATGCTTCGGTTAAGGGTTTTGAGCTTGCTGTGTTATTTTTCCTCATCTTTGTACATCTCAGTTGTCTGATTTTAACTCACATTGTCTTCTGGATCAGAAAGATCAATACATAATACAGGAAAAATAAAGATGCTTTTTTTGGCAAAGACTTTTTAAGGGTTCCTTGGACAGCAAAGAAAACAAGCAAATGGATTCTCGAATATATCAAGCCTCACTTTTCACACTAAGACCAGATAACCAAACCGAAGCTGGACTGAATTTATTTTAGACATATTCTAAGAAGCACTGATTCAATGGAAAAAGACGATTATGCTTGGAAGTGTTGAAGGTAAAAAAGAAATGTGGTGACCAGCAACAAGATGGATGGATACAAGCAGAGAAATCATGAATGAGCCATTCAGCAGCCCGAGGACCCAAACAGAAAACAGGATGTTCTGGAGAAACACTATCCATATGGTTGCCAGGAGTCAAAAAACAACTTGATGGCAATTAATAATAATAATAATAATAATAATAATAATAATAATGATAAGTTGTCTTCATTGAGAAAAACTGTGCCTGTGGTGAGTGAAGGGTGTTGCAGTGTTGGTTGTGTTAATGTGAATCCAGCTTTCTGGTTGATTTGTTATTGTTCTGTAACTCGGTAGGGTGGAAGCATTAGAATAGGTAGGCTGATGACTGCACTACTGTCAGATATAGGCAATAGCCTGATGTTATGACAATGAGGGACATTAACACATTTGGAAATATCTACCAAGTTAGCTTACCCTGTTTTTCACAGGCCTACTCAAAAATGCATTTCTGCCTGTATATAAATATATGAAGTTTACAGCATACAGTATAAAATATACACAATTCTTGATTCAGCATCATGATTCTTGTCTGTGGGTTGAAAGTCTTGAAACTAGTGCATAGAAAACAATTCTTCCAATTTCCTGTGTGATATGTCCAGGTTCACACAGCACTCCTAGAGAACAGAAAGTTTAATCATGAGTGGGAGACACCTCTTACCACCTACACAAATTAATTTACACCAGTCTCCAATTCCAATTAAAAAAAAAGCAAATATAAAAAAAAGTTGTATTTTGGTCTGTGTAAATAAATAATAATGCATAGGCTACATATGGTTATTCATATATTTGCACAGACCAAAATACAAAATAGCCTATACTAATCTAAATAACTTAAGATATGACTCCACTACACCTACACATGTTCATAACACCTTTTAAACCTGCACTACATTTTGATAATACAATGAAAAAAATAAATGTAAAAAATAATATAAAAAAAACTTGGTTCCATTGTTCTGGGCACATTCTGTACATAGATTTATATTAAAGCATGCACCAATCAGCAGAATGAAAATGATTGATTCTGTTTTTGTGACTGTGACACTCAGAAATCAAGTCTTGTAGGTATACAGCTATGGGGAATGTGTGGGTAATTCCAGTCCCATGGACCCATGAAAATTTTAAGGGCAGTGGATTCCCATTACCGGAGATAAACTACTGCTGTACACTATACAGCTATGGCTATGAGGAATAGTTGCATTCTGAATAATATTCTAATTTTATTCCTGTTTTATCTAGGTTAATACACCCAAGCTAGCTTTCTTATCAGTTAGGGCTTAAGGAACTGTACTGACTAATGTGTCAGATTAACCACTAACATAATTGTGAACTGAGAATGAAATCAACCAATTATGTCTCAATTTCTAATGGGTTGGAATCGTTTTGTGAGTAAAAAAAGCATCACTTTAAGCCTTCAGGAAGTCCTAAATATGTCACTGACTGCTAATTTGAACAGTAGTCTAACCAGGATTCAGTCAATTCTTAGTAGGGCTGTTCAGTGCCAGAAATTTTTGGAGTTGACTCCATGATGGGTGATTGGAATCAATGGAGCTGATTCCAAGAGTTGATTCCACACAATTTTCTTAAATCTTTTCTTAAGAATCATTTTTGGTCCCTGGTTGCCCGGCTGGGGAATCGAACACAGGCCCGTCTTGCTGTGAGGTGGCAGCACTACTAGTGGCCAATTAGTATATGTGCAAATAACTTTTCTACAGGCATCTCTCTGAAAAGAAAACAATGTGGAACATAACTTTTGAAGTAAGATCTCAGACTAGAAATCTCTCTTTAGCCCCCCTGCCCCCATCACACCCAGCCCTAAGAGTGTTTGAGGCTTTTAAGTCTATCAGGATTTCACATAGATCGTATAAATTACAGAGATGAGAAATTTCCATTATATTCCAGTCCCTTTGATTGCACTGCATTAGCAGTTGAGCCTATGGTTTAAGGAGAAATTGAGTATTGGTACCAGTGGCTGTAAACCCACCACCATGCCCACACTCCTCCATCTAAGACTTCACTTGTCTACATAATGCTTCACATAACATCTGTGTAAGATTTCAGCTACAGTTTATTCCTGTCATATATGAAGATATACTAATGTGACATTTAGTTTTGCTAAATGCAGAATGGAAAAGGCTGCATTGGATTCTTTTTGGGAGCATTGAGACAATGTGCTTTTTATGTTATTAAAATAGTTATGACAAGCACACTGAAGGAAAGAAATATGGTATTCTCCATCTGTACTCATCTTAGACCATAATAAGGTCCATTTAAAATTGTGCTCATTTGTTTTGTCTCCCACAGAGGCCCTGTCTTCAGGAAATGGACATGTCTTCAGAGGCATGGGTGCGTACATCTATTTGAACAATTATAAGTGCTGTTGATGCCCCTGTGGTGGATAATAGGGCCAATTTTGGCAATTAGTACTCAGGATGTTGAGTAGCTGTTTTATCATGTTAGGTCCTGGGAAATGATTAGGCCTGCAATTCGTTCATTTTTGATAATATTGGGATTTCATTTCCATTGGACATTTGGAATTAGTTGAAGTAAATAATTCATTTGGAGCCTAAATGATTATGCCTATGTTATTGCTCATTCATTTTAGCATAATGATCTCAGTATGAATTTTAGCAAGACCGCATGAACAAACCTCTCCATCAGTGGTTACATTTACATATGTACAATTTTCATCCATTCAAATACATTTTTTTTCTGATTTCATATATATATATATATATATATGAGTCGCATCAGTCGCTTACCAGAACAACTAAAAGCTCAGTTCATAAACCAGTCTTTTCTCTCTAGAATTTAGACATTTAATTTAAAACACAGTAAACAAAACTGCCGGTTCACGTTTTTGTCATTGTATCTACCATTTAAGAAACTGTGAAATGTGAAAAAGTCGTTTTTGTCTATTTCTCTTTCTAGAAAACGTGATTCTACAGACAGAGAGAAAATAAGAAAAAAAACTCAGTTTGTCATTGACTCTTTTTTAACTGGCCATTTTGTCGCTTCACTATTCAAACCACAAATAGTAAATAAAAGAATCAGTGAAAATATGTGAAATAATTGGCTTTTTGTCCTGTTATCTAGCACTATGGTCTTCATTCCAGTGATCTGCCCTTGGAAGTTGTTTACATAAATGTATGGAAAGTGTTCTGTTCAGTCCACTAAAATACTTATGAAAATACTAAATTACTTAATATTAATTAGAGAACTATTGCATGCGGACTGCAGTGCAACAGTTGACCACTACACGTGTAGTATCTCTATACTGTCCTCTGCTGCAGCCATTGTTGAGTTCTACAATGCTGCTTAAGAAAACAGAAGAAAACCTTGTATCTCCATTTTTGTCGTTTTTCAGTTTTTGACATAATTTGAAAATTCCTTTTACACTGTGTGTAAATTTCATAATGAATGGACCAAAAGAAATCGCCCAAAATGACTTGGGGGGAAAAAGTATGGTTCTACTAACTTGCATTAAAAGTAAAGTAGGTTTTTTCCTTTTCCTGTGACGTTATCATTTTGGAGATATGAGGTTTTCTTCCAACAACAGTAATATGTTCACATACCCTGCCACACCCACTCCACTGAGACAGCCAATGAGAGAAAAGTGATCATTAGCATACAAAATTAACACCTGGAAATTTGGAATTTTCTTCATAGATGGATAAGATTACTGAGGAAAACACATCACAAAGTCTAAATTAAGGTGTTATTTGTTGTATTCTCTTCACAGTTGTCTTTCAAAGAACACAGAGCTCTATGTAAAAAAAAATGCAATGTTCATAAGCACCTCGTTTACTGCTACAATAATGTCAATTTCTGCTAGTGCTCATGTGGGATTTGCAATGTTATATTAGTGACAAGTTGGCAATAGTGTACACTCTCCTTCCTACATTTTGCTTTAATACTGCTTGTGAAGGTTTTATCTTAAACACAGACATTTGAAGCTTGTAACAGTGATTTGAGTAACATATGATTTACTTTGCATGTTGCATTGTTTCAGTGAATATCTCTGTAAATACCAAACTCTGAATATTATTTAAGGAGACTTGTTTTGAAATAGATTGGATAGAAATTTCTGGATTAAGCTCAATCACATTACTCTAATCGATTTGTGTTTTTATGAATGTTTATATTCCAATTAACCTAGTCCTATATTCCACTAAACTAGTTTATAGCCCTATTTATAGCACAGTCTTTGTTTTTTCTTTAATACTAATTTATAGTCTTACAGTAATTATAGTCTCGCAGCTATGAGGTCATCCAAACGAAGCAGGGCAGCTGCAGCACTGAGTTAATTCCCCAGAAAAAACATGCAGTGTACCTCACTTCATGGTTCTGCTCTTCCATGAAAAGAAAGAATTTATTAGGGATGTCTACTGTTATATTGCTTCGTGTGTCTGGATTTGAGTGGGTTTTTTATTAGCTCTTCAACATGCCCTGCACTCTCCAACAGATGGTGCATATATTTTAGAGGAGAGACATGGCGTTTACATACCATAAACAACGTTTGTGACACTTGCGTTACTGGGCTTGAGATGAAAAATATCCACAATTCACCTGCGATCGCCGCCCTCCTGATGTGGTTATGATAGCTATGCTTTCACCCCCTGAATACTGAAATTTCATTTTGATGTAAAAGCAGTGAAATGTCATGAGGCAGACTGAGGCAGCCAGAATGAGATTAGAGTAACCGCAGGAGGAAAATCCGCATGGTGTTTGAGAGGCTCTGTGGCGCTCTTTCAGAGATGCAGGATGACGAGGAGCAGCCGGAATCACCCAGAGCCCCCACAGACAGCAGCCATGCCCATGAGCTCCCCGCCCAGACCACCAACTCAGGTGAGAGAGAGAGAGAGTGCATGTATGTGTGCGTCTTTGTGAAAGAAATAGTGAAAGAGATGAAAGAATAAAGAGAGAGACAAAGAAAGTGAGAGATAGAAATAGAAACAGGTAGATAGTGATAGAAAGAGAAACAGTGGAAAATAGATAAATAAAGAGAGAGTGAGAGCAAGAAAGGGAGAAAGATTGATAAAGAGAGAGAGAAAGATAAATAAATAGACAGAAAAAGAGAGGCTGAGAAAGATTTATAAAAGATGAAAAGAAAGAAAGCGAGTGAGAGTGAAAAGAGAGAGTGAGAGAGAGAGAGGACAGAGAAAGACAGAGAGAGAGAGCGAGAGACATAACACGTTCCATGCCAGACTATTGTTGAAGAAACTCTTCCTGATTATTGCCTGAAGCTAAGTATGGAGGGAACCCCAATAGTATACCACCCACTTATCACTCCTGGCAACATCTCTCTCTCTCTATAACACACACAAACACACACACATACATGCACACACATACACAGACCTCCTTAGCTCTGTCAAGAGCTGCCAGAAATTCTCTCTGTTTGAGATTCAGCCTGCGGGACAATCCTGATTGTTCTCATATTTGGGGCGGTATGTTTACAGTAATGGTAGAACAGGCCGTGCCAGGTCGCACTCAGCAGCAAACACCAACAAACAAAAGGTCAGAGTTGAGGGACTCCAGCAGGCTTTTTGTGTGTGTGTGTGTGTGTGTGTGTGTGTGTGTGTGTGTGTCTGGCACTCTCATAGCCTTTACCTATTTATAACCAGGGAGACACAATAGAGAGGACTCAAGGCTTGTGACTAATGAGGGGAAACACATCCACTTACAGTGCTCTGCTTCAGAGGATTGTTGATACATTTTATAAACTGTTTTGCTCTTCTTGTTTCCCCACTCTTAGATTCGGACTCTTCAAGATTTGGGCTCCTAAACACATCAAGAAAAGTAAGCTTTCCTCAGCAGCCTGTTTTAAAAAAGAAGTAGCTAATGCACTTTTAGAACCAATCAAAAACAATAGTGTATGCATTTTAGCACATCATCATGCAACATTCACACAGATTTAACCCCTGAAACTGCAAAGGTTTGTCTGGATCCCATTCTAAAGCCTTGGGCATTAATATGGAGTTATCTCCCATTAGAGGCTATAACAGCCTGTGCTCTTCTGGGAAGCTTTCCACAAGATTTTGGAGTGTCTGTGGGAATTTGTGCCCATTGAGTCAAAAAAGTATTTTTGTGGTCCGGCACTGATGTGGGATGAGAAGGCCTCATCTGGCTTGCAGTCAACATTCCAGTTCATCCTAAAGGTGCTCAATAGAGTTCCTCCACACTACACTCAACAAACCACATCATTATGGAGCTCACTTTGTGCACAGAGGCACAGTCATGCTGGAACAAGAAAGGGTCTTTTCCAAAGTGTTGACACAAAGTTGGGCACAAATAATTGTCTTTGTATGTTGTATAATTAACATCACTCTTCACTGGAACAAAGAGGCTGAGCCCAAACCCTAAAAAACAGCCCCTTGATAGCCCTCCTCCACCAAACTTTATACATTCTAGTAGGTAGTGATGCTCTTGGCATCTGCCACACCCAGATTCGTCCATCAAACTGCCAGATACTGAAGTGTGATTCATCACTCCAGAGAACACGTTTCCATTGCTCCAAAGTCCAGTGGAAGCATGCTTTACACCAGTCCAGCTGGTGCTTGGTATTGCAGATATTGATCTTAGGCTTGTGTGAAGCTGCTCGGCCATGGAAAGCCATTTTATAAAGCTCCCGATGTTCTTGTTGCTTTCAGAGTTCTTGTTGCTTTCAGAGGCAGTTTTAAACTCTGTAATGAGCAATTTGTAAGTCTTTCAGTACTTGGCAGCCCTGCCCTGTGAGTCTGCGTGGTCTAGTCTTAATGGCTGAGCTGTTGTTGCATCTAAACACTTCCATTTCACAATGAAAGAACTTACAATTGACTTGGGCAGATCTAGCAGGGCAGAAATTTCACAAACTGACTTGTGGCAAAGGTGGCATCCTGTAACAGTGCCATCTTCAGCATGACCCATTCTGCTGCCAGTGTTTGTCTATGAAAATTGCATGCCTGTGCTTGATTTTATACAACTGTTAGCAAGGGGTGTAACACCCGAATTTGATAATTCTGAGTGGTGTCCACATACCTTTGGCCATATGGTGTACTTAAAAACAGTATCGTCACTCAGACAAACCACACGTCCAAAGCATTTCATGCCTCTAAAAGCCAAATCATTACATAAAATGGTTACGAATACATTGCCTGGTGAGATTTTGTTTTAAAATGTATTTTTAAAAATCGATTCAAGGCGACAAGCTACATGCAGGGTGCTGTAAGGCAAAATAGTCCCCACAGAAAACTTTTTTTCAGATTTTGCTTACAGTTATTAACATTACATGTAAAGCTCAGAAGATACATGTAGGTTCACTAGTCATATTGCATAGTGAATAAAATGGCAATTTGTGAATTGTAGACATCGCAACCCCTGGTTCATATCATCACCACCGTAAATAAAGGTGAGTCAGTAAATTTGAATGGTGCATTTCACATCAAACTACTGTGAATGACTTTGTTTACATTTCAATGACTGAATTTTGCAGAAAGTTTGAAAGTACAGTGGAGTTCCCTTGTTCTATCTACTAGGTTTTAATTAGCTCAAAAGGAGGAAAACAAAAATTGAAGGGTTCATTTTATTATTATTATTATTATTATTATTATTATTATTATTATTATTATTATTACATTTATAGCATTAGGGCACCTGGGACCCCACATAATGAGGAAGTGATGCCAATCTCAACAAGAAACGTCTCTGCAGTCAGTCCTATCTGCAAATCCCAAAATCTCAATTATTTTAATCCCATTAGCATTTAAGTGACATTCTGTTATTGTGCTTCACGTGTTTTTAATTGAAAATGCACTTTTGTCACTTTAAGCTGAGGACGCATTATTTTTAACAACAAGCATTGATTATTCTCTCGTTAAATCTCTCTGTGTCTCTGTGCAGTATGTGAAGCTAATGAACTTTAAGGAGGAGGTGCGGGCCCACAGGGATTTGGACAGCTTCCTGGCACAGGCCAGCATCCTGCTGGATGAAAAGGCTGCCTCTCTGGATGAGGTGCTGAGGCGGATGCTGGAGCATCTAGCCCAGGATGGCCAGGGCAGCTGGAACCAGGAGGAGGTCACCCGCGCCCTGTTCACTGACGCTGGGGGGCAGGAGGCCAGCGGTGAGCGCCAGGCAGCCACATGCAACAGGGCTGGAACAGCAGCCGACCAGCCCTCCTCTGCCATTGCCTCTAAACATCTGCCTGGGGCTCATTAATGGAGGCTCGTAAAGCCTTTAAAGAGAATTAAGTGGATTTCAATTAAGGATTGCTCATGGGTTAAATTGATTCCATTAAAGGGATGGCCTTTTTAAAGGATCGTTATTTTTTGGATCCTTGTGTGTTCTTGCTGGTTTACTCTCCCACCATCTTTCTTTCAGTGCACCTGCTGACTGAGACCATTCAGGGCGTGACGGCCACTGCCACTGGGGTGCGCTACCAGCAGTCCTGGCTGTGTGTGCTGTGAGTGACAACCTGTGGCTGACCACCTCTGGCAGACAGATGTAAATTGTACATCTGGCTACAGAACCAGTGCACACATTACCCCACACAAGAAACAGTCAGTTCAGTATAGAATAATAAGACATACGTATTTTTTCCCATCAAAAGTTTGGAGACACCTAACTTTACAAATTTGTGTTTAATACAAATGACCATATTTGCAAGAATGTAATATATTAAAGACCAAGAGGGTTTATCATATTCAAACAACACGCAAATATTTGTGACTACATTTGCGACAGTACTACCGTAACATGTCATGGTAGCACTTTAATAATATCAGGCCACTATAAATAACAGCTTAATCATTACCTAATAGTTTGTTAATGATGGTTAATAAATGTATAATAACTTGTGCATTAATAATCATTTGAATGCACCATTTACTTACTTACATCTACTACAAATAATTAAAGCACAGTAAACACTTTTTATAAATGTATTATGTTGATATATGGTACGTAGTACCATGTATCTTTATAAATACATTATAAAATTCCAATATATAATAGGGGTCCAGTTAATGCTTATTGACCCCTTAAATGGCCAGGACATGCTGGCAGGTCCAAAGTTTTATTAGACACTCCTACAACCTAAGGATAGCTCAGCCAGTTTGCACTGAAGTCCCTGTAGTTAATTAATAATAATACTTACTATATAAAATGCCTGTGGTTTTAAGGGGTTAAAGTTTAGTATGGTCACTGTCCAAATAAAACTTGTACCTCATTTTTTTCTGATTTATTATTTTTCTGCATCATTTTAGCACAGCAGCTAAAAGTAAAAAAAAAAAAAAGTTACATTTTATGATGACTGGACCAATAGAAATGCTCCAAAATCATTTGGAAGTAAAGTAAAGTATGGAAAGTAAAGAAAGTTTTTACCTTCTCTGGTAAATTTTTGGAGAGACTTTGAAAATGATGGTATATTGACAACTTACTAATGACTAACTGACAGTTAAGGAAAGGTTTTGCATCATAGAACTACTTAATCATTTAGGGGTATTTAATTATATTATATAATTTATTTATTTAATGGTCTTAACTAATCATTAAACAAATCATTAAACAAATAGATATAATAATGCAGTATAGTGTTGAGACCTGTGGGTAAACTTGCAGACAACCTTTTACAGAAAGAAGATTCAGTGTTGTTACACTCAGCACAGATGGCCTCAAACAGTTGAAAAATAGTGCGAAGGTAGTTTTTGTTTTTGTTAATTGAACTGAATTTAATTATCTTTATTTTCCCCTCAAGGGGCAATTCACAACTGGGCATATGAATATATAGCATAGAAACAACTACAGACATTGGATGACCAATTATTTTGGAGCAAACAGGTATCAGTAAACAGTAAACAGTTCTGAATTTTTACACTTAGAGAGTAAAACCATAAATGAGAAAAAAGACAATGAAACAATGCTCTCAATAAAGGAGCTATAGAAAGTATGCAAAATAGATAAATTCACAGAAAAAGATTTCAATTTCAATGATGTATATTAATGTTCCAATGCATATAATTAGTTATGAGTACCAAATAACTAAATCATTATTAACAAACTATATTTAATTATTTATGCATCACTAAGTTAATGGTTAATAATGCAAACAGTAATGCATATGTAATTATTATATCTACTGTTATGCTTACTATATAACTAACTATTAATTACTAACAGCCAGTAATAGTAACTAATAGATAATCATTATGTTGGTGTGTATTAAGGCTTGTTATTATAAAGTGTGACCTATGTTACATATATGGCACACATAATGTGACCTCATGCATTTTATCCCCCTGTTGTGATCTCTGCACTTATCAGCAACTCAAATCTACTCTTTATACCAAGCAAGATGCTTTGATGAAAGTGTCAGTAAACAGGAGCAGGTATCTTTCTTACATTATTTAAAAATAACAGCAAGAAATGTCAAATTTCTGAATAAGGCAAGGTGTCTAAACTTTTGACCTGTAGTGTTATAGTAATGATGTGTATCTTTCTAAAAGCATTCCACTGCTGAGATCGCAACTGTGCATGGATTCAGAATGGGATACATGTGTGCACAGCTGTTAGGTAAATAAGCCCCTGATGTCTTTTCTCTGTGCCTGTCATTCGTTTCAGATGTAATGTGAAGAGCCTGCAGCGGCGCTGTGTCTGCATCGCTCGGCTGGAGAGGCCTCAGAACTGGGGGGTGAACTGCTGTGAAGCCCGTTTTGTCATCCTCATCCTTTCACCACCTAGAATGGTGAGCATCTGCTTTAATATGTCATTGGTGTCTTCTAGTGGTATTACAGCCATTACTGGTCATTGTTTTGTTGAAACATTGTGTTGATTAAAGCTTAAATCAGGAACAGGCACATTTTCCCAGTAGCAGCCCTGCATTTACTACCACCATGCATATGGTCAGCATCTGAACACTGTCATTTTAACATAATGTGAAATACTAGCCTCCAGGGTTCCTATGGTTATGAAAATTCTGGAAAAGTCATGGAAAATAAAAGGTGCTGGAATTTCCTGGACCTTTCCCCCCATGCAGTTTCTTATCTCATCTCATTTGAAGCACTGAAGAGTCTAGAGTGTAAAAAGCCAACACGAATGTTTCTGTACTTGGACCAGCTTTACTAACATGTTGTTAATAAGAATCTTGGCTGGCTAAGGAGTAATATTCACAACATATGGGTTGTGAAAGATGTTTTGACATTTGTACACTGGAGAAGATGAATTAACAAGCCAAACATAAGAGGAAAAACACACCACATCTGCTTCTTACGCCAAGCTAACTGACTAGCTTCTTCACTGTGAGTCAAGCTAGGTTTATACTTGAAGCATAGTGGCACGAGGGTGTGCATGCCAGAAATGACACAATCACGGCACCTCCGACCCTGTGTGCTGTCACGGCATGAGTCGTGCACCTTCTAATTTTTGTAACTTGGCACTCACCCTGTGCTGCTTCATTTAAAATGAATCCTTTTGAAGGGAGATTTGCTGAAGAGGTTTGCCTCTACAGGCACTTAGCATATCATATCACAGAGAAAATTGCAGCAATGGAAGCGCTACTATAAACGCTAACATGTCCGCTTTAGGTTCGAGTCTTCCAGGACACTCTGCAGCCTTCGCAGTGCCCAGTCTGCACCGCTGTGGCTAAACAGACATAATGTGCTGCAGCTACATTGATGAGCTAACTGCTGAGGTCCTCTCATTGATTTGGTTTTAGACAGCGTTTGTTGTACTCTGAGTACTCAGGTACTCTGTACCTGTTCACATCATGTGACTAGTATCTGGATTGTATCCTGATAAGATTTTAGCCACATGCATTTACACTTGGTAGTCAAATGCGTCTCCAGTTAGTCAGACTGAAATCCGATTGCTGTGTAGGAAGGAATATGCAAATCTGCTCATTACATGGCAACCAATTGCCAACTGTGTAGTAACTCATCTGCAGTTTTTTTTGCACGGTAGTGTCTATCCATATTTGCTATTAAGTATTTCATATTGTCCGGTCCCAGTCCAGGGAGGAGTTTTGGTTGTTGAATGTATCTTGGAGAGACGGATGTGTGTACACTGATACAACACATGGCTCAAATGTGTCTCAGACCACCTCCTGAAGTGTCTGTTTTAAGTGTTTTGGGTGTGTTTACACTTGCATTTTTATGTGGCTTGGCCTCATCCAGATATAATCCTGATACTCAAGACAAATGAAGTGACCAGGTGTAAATGGGGTTAAAAGTTGTAAAGTGACTCTCGTTACATCCCTCCCCTAAGTGCCTCAAAAAAGTAATTGACACTGCATTTGGACGGGACTACAGTCACTGAGAAACTTCGATAGCCTGATAAATACATACCTCTCCACACCATTTAAAGCTAAGCCCTCCCAGACCGAACTTCAGTTATATATGTCATTTCACTGGCAAAAGAAATATGTCTCTTTATTGTTAACTATTTGATTTCAAGCTAGTGAAATAGAGAATGATGTCCACCTAATCATGAACAGCTGTCTGTATGTTAAAGTAGAGCTGGGCGGTAATGAACTCATGCTTCCCGAGTTTCTTTATTTTTATGAATTTTAAGCAAATGAGTTACAAACAAACCATTAAAGACTGCATGTCATGAGTAAGATGTATGAAATTAAATGGCCCTTATCTACCAAGTATAATTGCTAAAAAATCACTCAAACAGGAAAAGGTATGTCAGTGTCATGGTATACCAGTATAGATATTGCCCAGCACTATGCAAATGTTTACCATAAATATTTCATTTTACATCATGGAAAAGTCGTGGAATTCCTCTGTTTAAAAAGTGTACGAATCCTGAGCTGCCCTTTACATTGGGTAAAAATGGTCCAGAATGACTTGGAACAAAATCTTGTTCCATTTACTTATATTGAAAGCTAAGAATGTTTTTCTTTCTCTTGCAAAGTTTCTTTTTTGCTGATTACAAGGTTTTGTTCCAACAGTGATGATATAGTTCCTTTTAATTTTGTAAACCCATTAAAAACAACACATGCTGGTTTCAGTTATTCCTGACTACAGCCTTAATATAAATAGTTAGTGACTTTTAATTTGACCGTTGGTGTTTCTCATGGATCCGAGCGTGTCTATTAATCGTTTGAGTCTTGGTTCCTCTAAATGGTTCTTCCTTAAGCTCTTAGAGAGTCTTGCTTTAGAGTTTAGATTCCTCTCAGTGCTTGTTCTTATGGCATTTTTCTATAGTCTCTTTCAGCTTTCTTGCTGGAGACTGGGCTTGCGTGTAAAGCTGCTTTGAGACAGTAAATATTCTAAAAAGTAATAAGACTGAAATTAATTGGACCAAATTATTGATGTTGGTTGGTGAGTGTTTGTGGTTATACACTTTCACATCCTTAATGTAAACCACTTCTCTCCAGAAAAGCACCAAGACAGCTATAGAACTTGGCCGCACCTTCGCCACCATGTTCTCAGACATCTCCTTCAGAGAGAAGCTTCTGGAGACGAAGACTCAGGAGGACTTCAAACAGGAGCTGGTGCTCCAGAGGCAGCTGCTCTCCTCTCCCACTTATAAAGTGTCCATGGAAGAAGAGACCGGTCCTCACAGCAATAAACCACTCAAGGTCTGAGTTAGATATGAAATGATGAGTCAGTAGGTCTTGAATTTGCTCACAGGTGATTACTAATAACTTTAACCCTTAGAAGTCACACATCACTAGTAATAACAAGAGCATACTGTACTTTTAGATTCATTATGTCTCACTTGTAGCTCAGTTAATAACTACTGTATGTGGCTGCGAGGCAAAATGATAATAATAACCGTAGAGTCAACCTCAGGGAATTATTATTTTGATTTAAGATGGTTCTGGCAACAAATACCTGTTCATGTCTAAAACTACAAAAGCTGCACTTGCCCTTTTTAAGTTATTACATCGATTTTTATGGGGTTATGTAGCATGTAGCAGACAATTTCCCACACAGGGACCACCCTCAGACTCCGCTCCATCTTAAGCCAATAAAGAGCTGCTCCACAACATCAAGGCTGCCAGAGTTTTCTCTCTGCCCAGTTACTAAAAAAGAAATAAAGAAAAAAATGCTATCAGGCAAGAGCAGTGAATGGCAAGCAGCCGCATGGCAGCGCAGCCAAGCCTGCCCGTGTTCCCTGGCACCCACACATCCTCTGCCTATTGCACAGATGAATTATTTCTTTATGAATAGCTCTCTAATATAAGCAGTTTCTTTGCTCGCTGCGCAGTGTTGTCTCGCCAGTTATATAGAAGACAAGTGCTTCCATTGTTTACATGCACTGCTGTGTTAAGGATTTGAAAAGTAATTCAGTTATCCATAGGAACAAATGTTGAAACATTTATGAGAAGAACAATCTATAGGGCTTTTCCTGCAGCACACAAGGAGATGCAATAACTCATTTGCAGCTATTTGTCAGCAGTCTATAATGGTTTTAAACACAGTCTTTCTAAATTAAGTTGGCCCTGCTTTTTGCCAAAGCATTAAAAAGCTCATAGAAAGCTGGAGGTGGTGTGAAATGGCAAAATGAAGGCTTCCATTCCAAAATGCTGTAAAATCTGTTTGTTACAACTTTGGATATAATAGTTTTTGTCCTGGTATTTGGTTTATAGGTGTTCCCATTCTCTGTTTTCATGCAGGTAACGGATTTTCTGCAAGCTGGTCGTGGTATTTATGAAGACCTCAGCCGTAGACTTCCTCATTACATTTCTGATTTCACTGATGGTGAGTGAGCTTAGGCTTCGGTGGTGGAGATAAGATAACAAACATTGTTGTAGCCAGTGCCTGGCCAAGTGCTATGCTAAATCAATTGATCTGGTCACGGTTCCTGAGCTAACAGCTTTCTTTGGGTGCTGACTGTCCGTCAGATTCTGGTTTATGAATATAGGTACAAGATGTACTGTGCTGTACTTTTTTTGTACACTTGGAGGCACTACAATGAGGCATATTTAAGAGTACACAAACCAATGTCCTAAAGTCTCTCTATGAATTTGTTAGCTAGCAGTCAGCTGGCATCTGTTGGTTTGGCCTACTTTACAGGTGTTCTAGCAGAGATGTAGCGAAAATGCATGTTACATTTCTGATTGTGGGTGTAGCAAGTTCAAGTAGATATATTGTTTTGAGACTAGAGGTATAAAAGTCTTTTGTGACCTTCAGGGATGTGTAGTTGAAGCTTTGGAGATTGATCACATACATTTCAACATTTGAGCTGTGATTGTGTAAACTGTCTTTAGGCAGGGCAGCATTTTTTGAAATGTCATCCACACTAAGCAGGTAGGAAAGTCCATGGAGCTTAAATACGTTGGTACCTATTTTAACTATGGTAATTCAGGTTTTTTTTATATATATGTATATATAAATACCTTTTATATAAAGGCTGGGATTGTATGTTTTATGTAAATGCCTTTATATAAAGACTAGGATTGTATGTTCAATTCGTGCGAGGTTTATGACCATTTATGATTTATGATGTTCCTGGTGATAAAAATGTAACATTGCTAGAACTTTATGATCCTGATTGCTATTGCTGTTGTTAATTGGCAGGGGCAACTTAATGCACAGGATACACACATACATACATGCAATGATTATGTTTATACTCATGCCATTCATATGCGTGACTGTTGATTGGCTGGATTTATTCAGAACATCAGCTTTCATGCTGACTGGCAGCTGCACCACATCCATTTAACCTGAAAGTTAGAACCAGGTACTTATTGCAAAATGTATGCAAGTAGACCTCAAATCCAAACCCCATTTTTGGAAATGTATGGTAACATTAAGCATCGGTTCTGCTGATTCTTAGCCTTGTGACTACCTCTTTCCATGCTTAGTAAATCTGGTGTAATTTGTTCACATTAGTTGAGATGGAACTCAGTTATACTGAATTTCTGGACTTTATGGTGTTGAATCATTCATTTTATTGATTGAAACTAGATCCATAGGGCCCACAACCGCTTGTAGCCCCATGGTTACCACGCCTTTGCAAATTGGACCAGTAGTGGTGTCAGGAAACTACATAGCAGTGCCTGTCAGGCCATCCTTTCCAGTGAATTTCCAGCACTGCTCTGAGCATGCTATCACAAACCATATCTTTGAAAGCATTTATCTTCTGTTGCTTCCACCGCTCTTTCTTCAAGCAAGTTTGCAGTACTGTTTTTATCATCTCCTCTCACTACTGCACCAGACTAGATGAGGGACAAAGTTGATTGCTTGCCATCCGTGTTGATTATGGAAAAAGTCAACATGTTATTTATTTAAAACCAAAAGCACTCTACGTTCCTCCATAGTGTTAATATGATATGCAGCCCAGATTGCAATGTACTGCGTGAAGCATAGGGGGTGCTTTGATTTTAGCCTGCCCATAACTTTGAGCTACAGTAAGTAGTATGCAATAGCTAATAAATATGCAGATTAGTGTTATAGCTCTTCAGGCTTCAGCATTGTTCAAACGGTTTAAAATATCAGTGCGCTTGTTCACTAGACGAGTTCTGTGTGAAATAGGTTTCCAGCACGAGTGGTTAGCATTTTTTATAATGTTTACAAAATGAGTAGTATTTTAAACTAATTAACCAGTTGTACGTAGTTACCTAGCTAATGAATGTAACACTCTGACAAGGTTAGAATATTTTAATATTTATCATTACTTATTTAACATGATGTGCTTTAGTGATTTTTGTTAGGCTAGTTTATTCTGACATCATTTACAGTGCGAACTTTGTATAATTTAGTTTGTCAGAACACCATCATGGAGGGAAAGCTACTGTTTACTCACCAAGTCAAACTTTCGTATATTGTTTAAAGAAAATGCCCCAGACTTTACTTATTTTGTAACTTTCAGCCATAATTGCTCTTTTTCTTTTGCTAACTGCTTACATAGGTAAGATACTAAGAGTCAGGGGTGTCCGATCCTGGGGTCTCTACCACCCTGGAGAGTGAGATCTGACACACCTGGCTCTAAAATTTAGATTCCCCTTAAAGCTTTCATTACCTTAATTAGGTGTGTTAAATTAGAGCTGGAGCTAAAGTATGAAGTGTGGTAGATCTCCAGGACCAGCCCTTGCTATAAGTGAATTGCTGCCCTCTTCAGGTGAAGCTGTTAACTCACTATAGGTTGGACAACATTTTGAAAAAGTAAACCAAACATCATCAACCGAAAATGTCTGTTGATTTTCTTTATCGTCAACATGATCATCAGCCGTAGTTATTTGCAGCCCTAGCAAACAATGTGCATCATGTGTGCTGTTGTCTACGTGATGTTTACATGAAACATGAATTACGGTCTTGCTGTTGCTTTGTACAGTTGTTTTTGGAAAATAGCTTGTGATATTGATCTGTGGCTGTTTTTGTAACTGTAGTAGTGGAAATTCAGCTTTTCAATCTGAACATAATTTCGCTCAGAATCCGAGAGCACTCACAAAGAATAACAGAGTTATTGCTTCTACTATGGTGTGCTGAATGTGCACGGCTCAGACCATGGCTTCTTCAGTTCTGTCTGCTCACCTTTTTCATCAAGTTTGATTCACCGGTAGGTTTAGCTTGTGCTTCCAAGACAGCTGTACTTGCAAAGGGGTATGAATGACGTCCACAGAGAAAGCCACCAAGCACAAAGCACAGGCCTAAATCAAAGACAAACCGATCAACTGAGGTACGTTTCTTTCATGAAAAGCTGAATACACTGTGAATGTGAAGGATGCAAGGGAAAGCTGATGTGGCTATTGGCTATTTTTGTGCAAACTATTTGAAAGATGCAGTCGCTACATATATATTGAACAAATTTATTGAACAAACTTTTGTAAATGTTGCTGGAGAAAGCTTTATATGACAGAAGCCCATGGACTTTGAACTTGTCTAAGTAAAAACCAGCTGGAGTTCTCATTCATTGCTGTGAAATTGTAAAATGGACTGTACAGTGAGTAGATCTGCTTTATGTTTGTGGCAAACTATGTCATGATTGAGTGGGGACATGCTGTTAACGTTATGTAGAAAGCAAATCTCATTGGGGTGCTAATAAAATCTAGAAAGGGAAAGTTTGTGAACTTTTAGTTGGCTTGACAAAGTCATCGCTATGAAATCTCAGATGACACCAAGGTGGACTTTTGCTGTAGTATCCCATGCTGTTGCTAAAGTGCTGCTAAACCAGTGCTGTGTTATCCCAAGTGGTTGCTGAGCTATTTCTAGGCCATTGCAATATTATCCAAAGGGGTTGCTCTGGTTGTTTGACTCTACTTGATGAAGGCATAAGCCAAGACACATTGAGATACTTTTTTGTCCATAATCATGTTATAATAATGATAATGATAAACGTTTTCTCTAGATTTTGAACCCCTGGCCACCTTCAATAAAATTCCCTACCAGCAGGACTCTGTTTAATTTTTATTTAGCATAGTTGCTAGGCCATTGCTATGTCATCAAAGGTGGTTGCTAAGCTATAGCTAGGCTATTTCTACAGTATACCAAGTTATTGCTAAGGTGTTGCTAGGCTATTTCTATGTTATCCTAAGTTCTTGCTAAGGTGTTGCTAGGCCATTGCTATGATATCCCATGTGGTAGCTAAGACATTGACAGGACATTGATAAGGTATCCCAGGTGGTTGCTAATATGTTGTTAGACCATTCCTATGTTATCCCAGGTGTTATCCCATTGACATCCTGATATCCCAGGAAGTTGTCAAGGTGTTGCTAAATTCAGGAGGGGCATTTCATTACATGTAACATGTCACAACCCATTTGACACTGCATGTTTCAAATGTACAGACTGTGTGAATCTACAGTTCAGGCAAGATGTAAATCAGTCCCATCTCAGACAATCCGTAACACTTGAACTTTACTACATAACATTGATCCAACCATGCCATAAACATGTTAAGGCAGAGGTCATTTACTGTCTTAAGCTGTCATGAAAGATAATGTTCAGTGATAATAACAGTGCTGTTAGCATTAATTATCATAACATGTCTTGATGCTTGCTGTATGTGACAAACATGTTATGACATCATTGAATATCATGACATCTGGCATGACAATTACCAGTAATGGCACAATGACACATATTACTTAACAAAATCTGTCTTGACAACTTGTAAAAGCATATGACATGTTTATGGCATGGTTATGTTAGTGTTATGTAGTGGGGTCCAAATATTCTGTTACTGTCAGTTCATATTTTCTCATGACCTTTTGGTGGTGCTATAGTTCTTATGTCCACAGAAGTCCAAAATATCAAAAATTAAACCTTTTTTCTTTGAAAGAGAAGAAGAACCCTATTAGCTTATTTTAATAGCTACCCCTGGTTGTAACATATTGAGAAGTCAACTTTCATTTATTTATTATTGGCATTTTCTTTTTTGTTTTTAAAGCTAGAACACTGGCAGGTCAGAAACAGCCCATCAGAAAACTTAATGCCAGGAATAAAAAATGATGAGTATTTTGATTTTATGAGCACAAACACCAAGTCATAATCCAAAAATCCCTTTCAGTTCATGATTTTACTTGAGTAAGTAAGAGAAAAAGTTTACTTTAAAATCTCTGTGGATTTACTTGCAGATCCTTCAAATTAGCTGGTCAGAAAAAAGACACAGCATTGCAGTATGCATATACATGTGTTTCTGTATCTGTAGGCACACTGCAGTCAACAAAACTGTGACCCTTCACAAACCTTGCAGAATTGTTGCCTTGCCATCGTTTTAGATTCCATCACTTTGTAATTGGCCTACTTTCAAAGTTTTTGTGCTGAGTAATTGGGATACAGATATGAGAGGTAGATTTTAAGCCATTTTCATGTATTTTAAGTGATACAGTGATATGAACCCCTGAAATTGTGCAGTAAATTGGTTCATGTAATCCTGAAAACTCATTGTCAATAAAGGTGGGCAAGGTCATCAAAGCACAAAACATCTATTGTCACATTTGTAAAAAGTCTATAAATGCACTTAAGCCTGAACATCATTTAGAAGGGACCTCACCTTCTGCAGCTCTAAACTGCTCTTGCTGAGTGGACTGAGCTATAAGCTAATGTGCTGCTCCTGTCCTCAGGTATGTATGGAAGTAGCAGGTCTCTGCTGAAGTATACAACAACAGCCATCTTCCTCTACATCGCCATCCTGCTGCCTGCCATTGCCTTTGGCTCTCTTAACGATGAAAGCACACGAGGCGAGATAGGTCTGTACTGCAATTATGTTCACATATTGTCCTTATCGGTTAACTTAAGATGCTTTGCTTATATCAAGCTTGCTTTCTGCCTCGACAGAAACTAATTTGTTAATATTATGTAAGCAAAATTACAATTTGACGTAGGAACATTTTTTTATATATATTTTGTTAGCCCCTTTCACCCTGTTCTTCAGTGGTCAGGACCCCCATGGACCCTCACAGAGCAGGTACTATTTGGGTGGTGGATCATTCTCAGCACTGCAGTTACACTGATGTGGTGGTGGTGGTGGTGGTGTGTTAGTGTGTGTTGCCCTGGTCTGAGTGGATCAGACACCAGCAGTGCTGCTGGAGTTTTTAAACACCTCAGTGTCACTGCTGGACTGAGAATAGTCCACCAACCAAAAATATCCAGCCAACAGCGTCCTGTGACCACTGATGAAGGACTAGAGGATGACCAACACAAACTATGCAGCAGCAGATGAGCTATCAACAGGTAGACAGCTAAAACATGGATACGATATGTGATTCAAAGAGCCAGAGTCAATAAAAACTAATAACTAACAATAGCCATTTAATGACCAAAAACAATCCTGCTGAAGGCCTCCAAAATGCTGGAGCTGGCCCTGGACACGTATCAAGCATAAATTCCAAATTCCAATCCATTCCAATAACCATTCTCATTAAGGTCACAAGGCCACATACCGGATACGTATCTGATCATAGCACGTCGCTCAAATCAGAAGAGATCAGATCATTGTGTTTACAAGCTGTGAAGTAGTCAGTGGTCCCATTCACATCTGGCATTAACATATGTCTTGGATGAATCATAAGAAAAGGGTCCAGTGTGTCTCAGATACGCATTGTGATCCCATCATTCAAACCGCCATTGGAGGTTCTAAGGGATATCCATATAACATATGTAGTGTGAGTGTCAAGGCTTCCTGACCACCTAATCAACTGTGTCATCACAGTTGAGATGAAAGCTACTGAATACCTTCTTTCTTCATCTCTTCTCCTGTTTGTTTATACTTTGACTTGGCACTCCTTGTGATTTAAACAATTGCAACAGCTCGTACATTTCCATGAACAAGGACTTGCAGGGCATTTTTTGTCTAACAACAAACACAGTGAAAGAATGACTTGATAAATGCGGTGCCACTCCTCCAGTCACGAAATCCAATCATAAGTGGTTCCTCTTAAAGTAGGCCTTCAAGAAAATACAAGGTGCAAATGGCTATCCACTTGGTGTCCACTTGTGATCAGATCACTTGAGATAGTTAAAGGGGAACAACGTTGAGTCGTTTTTTTTGTTTTTTTTTATTTCTGCAAAATTCCATCAATGAGATGTAACCAGAGTCATTCAGAGTGATTTCATGTGAAATTGAATTGTAGAAAAACTTAGCAACTTGGATTTACCTCACATTCTTAGCATAGGAACCAGGGCAGTGATGTCTGCACAACAGACATCATTTTATCATGATGGTGATTTTATTATTAGTGAACCTGCACAACTTCTGAGTTTTTATATATCTGAAATATATATATATATATATATATATATATATATATATTAGTGTTATGATGCCCAGCATGTACTACAACATAAATAGATTTTTAAAAAAATCTAAAAATAGATTTTGGGGCCAAATCTGTAAGGGAGCTTCTAGACTCTTCAGATATCTGGTCCCTATCACCACCACTGTGAACAATTCAGAACAGTGCATTTCACATTAAACCACCGTGAATTACATTTTATCAAGAAATTTCTCTTTATATCAACATCAATATAGTATTCCAATGTATTTGTTTATCTGTTAGTTCTTGAACTGCCAGTGACTGACCATTAAAGGCTAAAAAACTTAATTAATATGAATAATCTTTCACATCCCTTTTTTTACAAGATCATATTAGCAATAGTATTGGTACAGCTAGTCAGTATTTGGTGTGTTTCTTTTACTTCTCACAGATGTCCAGAAGACCATTGTGGGCCAGAGTATTGGAGGTGTGATCTATTCTTTTTTCGCTGGCTCTCCTATGGTCATTCCCCTGACCACTGCACCCCTTGCCATCTTCATCAGTGGTACAGTTACATAATCTTTCTCATGTTAAAAGTTGTTTTGTTAGTTTTCTGCAGGGTTGCATCACTGTTATCTGTTGCTCTGCTGTGGTGTTGCAGTTATCAGAGGTATCTGTGATGACTATGACCTCGACTTTCCTGCGTTCTACGCATGCATTGGTCTGTGGAACAGCCTGTTCCTTATACTGGGAGGCGTCTTCAATGTCAGCTTATTCATGAAGCTTTTCAAACGGTCAGTGAAAAGACACATAGAGAGAAATATAAGACTTGTTTACTTGTTTTTCACCATGTAGATGTTCTTACTGCTTTGTTATACTATAGCATATCACTGCTGTCGGAACAAAACCCTGTTTCTCCATTTCTCTCGATTTTCAGTTTTTGACATAATTTGAAAATGCCTGTTGTCCTTTACATGATGTGTAAATTTCATGAAGAATGGACCAAAAGAAACAGCACAAAATGACTTGGAAAAAGTCTGGTTCCATTGACTTACATTAAAAGTAAGGTATGTTTTTTGCTTCTCCTGTAAAGTCATTATTTTGGAGATTTGGAGGTTTTGTTCTGACAGCAGTGATATGTAATGTAAACGTAAAGTCCACTGTTGCATTCTGTATTTGAAACTTTGAAAGTGAAACCCGGTCTTTCTTTCTTTGTCTGCACTTTTTCATAAAGATCCTTCACATAATCTCATGGCTGTTCTTGGTGTGCCTTGAACTTCTTGTTATGTCTTTGTCTGTGATTGGCTGCTTTGATAAAGGAGATGATTGGTTTCTTAGTGTATGCTATGTGCCCTCAGCTCCACAGAGGAAGTCATAGCTTTGTTCATCTCAATTGCCTTTGTGGGTGATGCTGTGAAAGGCACCATCAAAAGTAAGTTCACGTTCCTTGAAACACATCATGACAGAAACTTTGAACACGCATTCAATAAGAAGGCCAATTCGACTAGAAAAGAGGACGTCAAACACGTTAGCTGTCGTCTGACTGAGTAAACGTGTTCAGGAAGAGAGAGCAGAAAACACAAACGCGTAACACATCCAGTACAGGGAAGAAACTTAAACATTTTTCTGAGCACAGTTTCTACTTATTTACTAAGTTTTTGAAAAAAAAAAACAATAAAAATAAATAAAATATACAATGGGTCACACTTTATTTAGATGGTCCCTATAGATGATCTACATATACTTAAATTATAAACAAACTTTTTTGTGATACTTACTGATTATCAACAACATTGTGGTTAGGGTTAGGTTTAGGAGTAGGTGTAGGTTTTTGCCTTGAGGTTAAGGTTAGGGTTAGGCTTAGGGATAGATTTAATAGAATTTTTCTTATGCAACTTCAAGTTCAGTTGCATTTAATAGATATTTATTTGAATGCTAGTTAAAGAGCATCTACAAAGCCTTTACAGTGGACAATCCAAATAAAGTGTTACCATAAAATGTTCCCTAACTTTTGCACAGGCCACATTTTACATTTAATTTTGTTTTCTTATATGTTAAGTTAATAAAAGAAAAAAGAATTTTATTATTTTTTATTTTATGCTACCTCTGAGGTGCATTCTCTGTACACTTTCAGAAAAAAAAGGTACTAATCTGTCACTTACCTTCAAAGGTAAGCCTTCAGTACCTTTAGTTGCAGAACATAATTGTTCCATTATCCATTGCAGTTATATTTTTCATTAGCAACTACATACTCAAAAAAACAGTTAGAATTGACAAGTGTCTCAGAAAACAGGTCACTCAGAATAGCCCTGCTTGAGGTCTTATTGGCCATGAAGCTACATTTGCCTTGTCAAATCTTCTCCTTTTCTGTCTTTCTCAGTCTTTCATAAGTACTACCATGAACCCACGCTGGTGAACAGGAGTGCTGTGGAGTTACAGAGCTTGGCTGATGTGCTCCAGCAGCCCGGAAGCAGTGGTGCTGGTGTATCTCTGCCTGCAGTACTCATGTTGTGCACCAAGGAGCGCCCTATCCTCTGTCTACTGCTCATGCTGGGAACTCTGTGGCTCGGTTATGTTCTTTTTCTCATCAAGAGGAGGTAACTGTGAGGTGCTCCATTGTAGTCCTTACCAGGTAGTGGTGTGCTGGGATGTGTCTTTACAGGTCAAGAACCACTCTGATTTGATTGATGCAGTGAGATGATTATGAATTACTGAGGGGATCTCAACATTGCATAATTTTACTAAGATTGTAGAAGCCTTAAACAGCCTATACAATAATAATCACTTCAGATGTTCAGATAAGCAACAAACGTTACAATAAAATAGTCAAATTTAAATATATTTGTTATATTCGCAATTATCGAATAATTTTTTTACACCATCATGCAATTATCCAATTTTACACTATCATGGTCTAGCTAGTTTGTATAAGATGTATGTTCTGGGTTGCCAAAGATCCAAGACATGTGTAAATAGATGGCAATGCATTTAAGGGTTAAACAAATCCATATGTTTATAACTTTATGGTATGGTATGAGACTTTATGGTATAGGAACACTAATAGGATGGCACTATGTTTTGTAAACATACAGTAATGTGCAAAAATTGGAGACCACCTTTTCATTAACTTAACTTACTGTCAAAACAGCCATTAAGTTATTCATTTTCCAAGGTCAGGAAAAAAGCAGGAAACAAGAAAATCACATAAAAGATTCCAACACTAAGTAGCCAATGAGATACAGCTACATTCTACCTACAAAAGATATTCCCAAAGCTCTCACAAACAAAAGTCAAAAAGTCTCAAAAAAAAAAAGTCTTATTTTAAAGTACTATAAATTACCTTTAGATTATTTGGTATGTGTATCAAAAATGGTAAAAGGAGATAATCTGAGGATATTAAACATAAAATCATCGACTTGCATAAGGAAGGGAAAGTCAAAGAAAAATAAGTCAAGATAAAAAAAAAACAAAAAAAAAACAGGAGTTTCCAAAACTGTAGTTAAAAAAGATTAAATGCTACAGGTCTGAAAGGATGAGTAGCTGTCAAGAATCCCTTACTGAGAAAAGGGAGTAAATTGGCACTAGAACACCTAAATTGAACATCTGAGATGTGAAGTAAGTTTTTATGGACTAATGGGTTTACTACTTGGATCATTAAAAACAGGAAATACAACCAACATGGGAACTGTAATAAAGGAAAAGCGTGGACACACTAAATACTGCAAATGTTGATATTATATTTAGTTGTTAAGACTTTTGTGTGGGGCTGGTTTTGGCTGAAAAAAATGCTCTCTGAGTGTTGCACAGTACTGTAGCTCAACCAGAGCCCTTTAGGTTCTCACATAGAATCCAGTTTCTGGAAGACCTCAGTGCTAATCTGTCTTAAAAATTCCTTTTCTTTACTTCAGGTGGATTTAACATTGTACTTTGGTTTTCTCCAGCCCCTTTCTCCATGCTAAAGTAAGGGAGGTGGTGTCAGACTGTGCTTTGCCCATTTCTGTGGTCATATTCTCCTTCGTGGGCTCGTATCTATTCATTGACATTGAGCGTAAGTGCTTGGTTATCACATTAGGCATAGTTTTAAATGATGAAATAAAACTGTTCAATTTCCGGTTATGCTGCAGAACACGCTCATCTAATTCTTCAAAGCAATATGATGAACTGTTTTTAATTATTTGCCTTTTATGAAACATCTGATAATCTGAATCTGTTATACTCAGATACTGTGCATCTTTATATATCTCCATTATCCTCACCTCCTCTCACTGTAACACAGTTCTTTGAGGCATTTCTTCATTGTGCCTACCCACAGTTCCAGTGTTCAACTACTACAGTGGTCCTGTATTCAATGTGGCTCCTTTGAATAAGCTCACGGGCATGAACGTACTCAGTGCGTGTGGCCTTGGTTTCCTCCTCGCTCTGCTCATCTTCATTGACCAGAACATTGTGATCTCCCTCACCAATGCTCCTGAGAATAGGTACACTTCAGAAAAAAATATTTGTAAACGATTTGAAGCTGTGTCATATTCAGATGCTATTTCTTTATATTTATAGTTATTTATATGCCAGAGGTTCTTAGAGTATAAATTCAGTTTGATGACTGTCTTGTCTACCTCCTACGTAGCTACAATTTGGCTTTCTCCAAGATCACCGAGCCATCACACATTCTGGCGGTGTCAGTTTTGTGCAGACAGTTACAGAGTGCAGTGAGCGTCAATGTGTGTGTGTATTTCAGATTGCTGAAAGGAACGGCATACCACTGGGATCTCATGCTCTCTGGATTTATCAACATCTTGATGTCAGTGCTGGGGTTGCCATGGATGCACGCAGCTTTCCCCCACTCCACACTGCATGTCCGTCAGCTGGCTAAGGTTGAGCAGCGTGTGGAGCAGGGACACCTCTACGAGACGTAAGTCACTCAGCAGTGGACACCTTTAAAGAGAACCCAGAGCATAGGAGTGCTGAACGGGGGCAGTTCATCAAATTATATCACAATCCATGGCTGCGCTCAGGGAACAAGCAGCTACTAATGTACCGGTATATTTGTTAGGGACAGTGTCCGTTAATAAACAGTACTATAACTGTAAATGAGACAGAGTTAGCCCAAAAGTCTAATTTTCATCTGTAATCCTTGGCCAGATGTTAAGAGGCATCCTAAAATAGCTTATATTAAAAGTACATGTTAATACTATTATAGAGCTTATGTCATATAACACAATAGAATCTGTATCAGAATACATAGACAAACATACATGATATAAAATAGCATAAACAGCCATTACAATCAAGGATATGCTTACAACAGGGTACATAAGCAGTAAAACATTTCATGAAGCATCTCAGCCCAAGTAACCCTTATTAATATCCATTAATATACAAGTAGTTTGGTATCATGAAACTCATGTTCAGGTACTTGAAACTCTATAATGCAAAAAAATAAAACACAAAGCAGGGACATCAAAACTTATATGAAACTATGATTCACAAGTAGAACTAGAAACAGAAGAAACTAGGAACAAGGGAGACAACACTAAAGCACTATTCAAACTGGAGCAGTTTTACCAGAGAATGTTCTTTGACTTGCTATGTTGAATTTGACTAAACGATTCATATAGGATACTGTATCTGTGTAATCTCTCCAAATTATACATCATAGCCTGGAATTTCATGTCTTTTTTACGTTATGCAAAAGGTGCCAGACTCAATAACAATAACAACACCATACACTGCTGTGTCTGTCGGAAGGTTTTGTTATTCCAAAACTATGAGGTAAACAGGATTACTATTACAGACTCTTTAACAGGACTGCAGACTGTAAAAATGACTTAAGTTGCGTACTCATACTGGATTAAAATCACAGATCTAGTTAGCCGCCTTTTAGATTGCTCACATAATGCCGTTATTGAGTAAAACTAACCCAGAAGCATGAATATAGGGAGCATGAAAAAAATATCTGCAGAGAACTCTTTGGAACTCTTTCAAAATTGCAATCTTATTCTCTTTTTATATAACTGATAAAAGGTTTTTACATTTATCGGTTTCACTTTTGTATTGACATTAATGTAATGACTTAAAATCTTTTATAAAGCTTATTTTAAAAAGTACTAGATAAGAACACAAACAAGACACGGGTGTAAACAATAATCACAAGGTGCAATTAAAAAGGAACCAGGATGTTAGACAGGCAGATTTATCACAGCATGTACAACTTGATATGTTAAAGGTGTCTCTACGCATAAGTTTAATAATACGATCAGTTACTGGAGAAGTAAAATAGCTTCACAATATATTAGCCAGGACATTAATTCTGCACAACTACAACAGTTTTGTATGTGGAAAGTTTTAGTACATTGTCTTCACATCTCTTATGGAAAATAACTGTTCACTCACAATGGCAAGTAATGACTTTTCACATACTATTATCAGTCATAATGGATGGAATAACTTAACCATGTGACTTCAGGATTGTCAGCGTGAAGGAGACTCGTCTGACATCACTGGCTGCAAACGTCCTGATAGGATTGTCTGTGTTCCTGCTGCCAGTGCCACTGCAGTGGATTCCTAAGCCCGTCCTCTACGGCCTTTTCCTCTACATCGCTCTCACCTCCATCGAAGGCAACCAGATGTGTGACCGGATCGCCCTGCTGCTCAAAGAACAAGTGGGTGCTGAAGGACGAATGAGACATCTACATTATAAAAAGGCCTTAATTCATCGAAAAGCTTTCAGTGAACGAAATGATTTTGGCTCAGTGAAAAGCGTAAATGTGTTATATTCACTGAGGCTATTTGGTAACACTTTATTCTGAAGGTCCACTGTAGAAGCTTTGTTGTCCTTAACTGACATTCAACTAGATCATTATAGGCAATATTTTCTGGTACTGAAGATCATTGATATAAAACTCACATATAATAGAACCCAATGGGCAGTGGTTTCAGGTCCAGGTGCTTGTTTTAAATCAGCATTTTTTCTGTTCTTTTTAAGCAAAACAGTTCACTTTAGCGTGTTAATACTGCAAGGTAATCTACAGGGAACCATCAAAATAAAGTGCGACCAAATACTTCATTCCATAATAGTATGAAAAAACAGTATGTTTGCCCTGCAAAGGTTGTCCTGTAATTCCTCAGCCAATAGTTATGAACATGCTATTTAATTAAACTAGTGCAGTCAATCACCCATGCTGTAAATTACACATGTAAGCTGAAAGGTTTTATTTACCAAGGAGTACACAGAATTCATTTATGTACAAATCTTAAGACCCTTCTCTCTCGCTCTCGCTTTCTTTCTCTCGTCTTATTCCCTAGACTTCATATCCACCCACACACTACATTCGGCGAGTGCCTCAGAGGAAAGTTCACTACTTCACAGGTCTACAGCTGATCCAACTGATCACCCTGTGTGCCTTTGGGATGTACCCTCTACCGTATATGAAGATGATCTTCCCCCTGCTCATGATCCTCCTCATTCCTGTCAGGTATTGAACAATATTGCTCAATTATGTTGAGCTGATTCATTATTAAAAGCATAGTTATGGTTCTAAAGTCTGATTGGCTGAGACATGTTTGAAGACGCTGTAAAACATACCATAAAGACATACATGTGACCAGACATACTGAATTATGTGTTGATGTGGCAAGATTATTATTTTGTGCAGCAACCACAGCTTGCTAATAACAATCATTGCTTGGTGTAAGAATTGACTATTACAATTATTATTAGCAATACATTAAGTTATTTATTGAATATCTGTGCATATAAGGGTTGGGATTACTTAACGATTTACAGACAATTATCGATAACCATGAAATCAAAGCGTGCCAATCTGTGAACTGACACTCCAGTCTTTGTTTCACTTCATTTACACTCACAGCAGTGAATTGCCTTGTAAACAAGCCTCCTGCTGGTGTGCAACTACAGGAGAAAACACCTTTTGAAACAGTATTTTTCATTGTTAAGGCTGATGTTTGATGGTTAGTCGTTGTGAGGTCTTTTCACACTAAGTCATTTTTTATGGATGAAAAAGCAGATGCAATTTTTAATGCACTCTGATGCACCTCTCACTAAGATACAGTGATGAAGAGATCACCTTACTTTCCAGGCAGTGCGACTCAGACACGAGGAAAAAAAGGCAGCTGCTAAAAACAATTAAACACCAATTCACAGCTGAAGCTCTGCAGCAGCACTGTGTGTACGTGTGGAGGAATTTGAGGTTCTGCTTCAGATCAGAGCTTTGAGCATTAAGAGGAGCAAACAAACCATGAGCTCTGATGTGCAAGACGGCTTTAGTGTTAATGTATGTTTGCCTTTTATTTTGATGTGTTTTTGAAGCATTTTAAAATAAGCTGGCTTGTAACTCACCAGACTTTGGCCCTGTGGTTTTTGGTCTCACTGCTCAACGTCATCAGATTGGATCTGCGAGGCTGCATCACTGCAAGCATATTGAAAATGCTAATGAGAGAGCATTTCAGTCCATGCTACTTTCATATTTGATATTGACACCAAAATCTGCATATTTGCACGTGAATTATGCATGAATTACTTTGAAAGATATTCTCCTTTTGTTTAAATTAAAGTGAATTTATTATTTATTTGAACATGTGCATTTTGCTAAGAATTTCAGGTAACTCCATGAGCACAATCTGCTGAAGCCTGCATCTGAAGGGGCCTTTATCCAGAAGTTCACAGAAATTCTGCATTATCCCTTTTACAGCCTAGGTGAATGGCAAAATTTCACAGCCCAGAGTCGACTGGAGATTTAGATTAGGCAATGCACTCATTCAGGTTTTAGCAGGCTGAAGATTGTCCACAAGAGGGCGCCATTAGCAGTCAATTAGCTTTCGATGCTTCTTAAGAACAGTGCTTCACAGCAATGACACTATGTGTCCTTGTTTTGTTTTCAGTCTCTAAAATTGGACTTGGTGTGAAAAGGCTTCAAACATTGTCACCCCCACATAAATGGAAACTGTCCTAAATGCACTGCATGTTACAGTGAACTTTGTGGTTTTAAGTAATTAAAATATTGACACTAATTGATAGTTTTATTCCAATGTATAATTGTTCCAAAATCATTTTATACACAGTTGTTTGTGAAAATTTGCACAAAATGTGCAAAACAAAAATCTGCTAAATTTAGTGCAGAGTTTCTATTTCTTTGCAAAAGTTAGCATATTGGGAAAAGAAACATGAAATATAAAATATGCCATAACTTTTTATGGGTTTTTTTTTCATAGTATATTATTATTTATAGAGAATGTGCTAAATTATTTTCACTTAAAAATCAACAAACATGTAAACTTGACTAAACTTTTGCATATGACTGTATGTTTCGTAATAACAGGAGGCAAAATCAGTGAAACACACATGTCTTACTGTTTTATTATGCCACTCTCGGAATCTGTATGCGTAGCACAGCGAGACTAACTAATATTCTTGAGTGGGCAGTGTGTTCTTTGTTGTACTGTGTCAAACAGTAAAATAATATTCATGATATTTCATGCTGGGTCGTGACTCATGTTGCATGCTGAGTGTGATTCAGTACAGAGAAAAAAATGCAGTGATGTGAACTGGGCTGAAGATCTGTTCTGACGCTTACTTCATCTCCTTTTTTAGGAAGAGTTTGCTGCCAAAGATAATTGAAGCAAAGTACTTGGACATCATAGACGCTCAACACATGTAATGAGTAATAGAGATTTACCCAAGAGTTGTAAACGCAGCAGGAAATGTGTCTTGGAAAGAAAGCAGAAGCAGAAATGACACCAAATGAGCGACATTAATACTGTTAATATACCTCTATACTTTTTTCTGTATCATCGCTGTCATATAACAACATATAACAGTCTTTTACATTGTTTGAACATTTCATGGCAAATGGACCAATAAAAATGGTGCAAAATTACTTGGAATTAAATCTCATTAAAGTTAAGATATGCTGTACCTGTAAAGTTACCATTTCAGAGATAAGAGGTTTTGTTAAAACAACAGTGATATGCAGTCACCTTTGGTGAACTGCACTGGTGTTTTTGTAAGTGACTTCTTATTCTATGTTTCCACATAATGGATTTCTATATTAATCTGACCAATTGATTTATTTCTTCCTCAGTTTCCTTTAAGGCAATTAATTGAGTTCATTCCAATCAGTGGCCTTAACTCAGCTCAGTCAAATGCCTTACAAATGAATGATGGTCCATTTATTGTAATGAAGTGAACAATACAGGGTTCTGATATTCTTCTTCCAACATGTCACTCAGGGGATATGTGTTGTCCTTGTTTCTTTAGTTTGGTCTTGGTCTTCTTTTCATCCACCAGAGAAGCTTGTGTGAAACTAAATAAAAATGTTTTATTTGGTTGCCTTGTGTGGAACTAAGCTATTTCACTTTTTCATGTTTTAAATCATACCTTCTAATCCCAACATGCATTTTAATTTCCTAGGCAGGACCAATGACACAGAGAAAAACCTCACTCTAGGCATTAAGGAAGTCCTAGATCTGTAACTGATTATGAATAGATAATATTATCTGACTCACACTTGATTCCACCGCCATATTTTTGCTAAACCACCATTCAATACAGTGTTGACAGTGGTGCACATAGAGCCACCATTCATACACTGTTACTTAATAAAGTATCCTGACAGATAAAATATAGCTATAGTGTGTTGCATGGTTCATGATTGCAGTAACGACAGCAACTAAAAGCAAAATGCGGCAAGCTTTTATAGCATCCTGGCTGTCTGACATTGTGAGGAAAAAGAGGCTGAACAGCTGAGCCAGCAAAGGAGAAATCTTTGGATAGCGAGAATAAACTTTCAGCCGCCTCCCATACCAAAGTCGGCTCTCATCAGTCCGTCACAGTCAGATGAAGGGTGAGTTCTGTAGTTTAGATAATATTTGAGTGTTGAGAATTGTTTATGATAGATAATTGACACTGATTGATGATCGACTAATGCAGTCTATACTTTAGCTATACAATGAATGCAGTTGAGAGCATGTCAGAACATTAGCAGGGCTCATGTAATGTAAGCTAACATCAAGCTGACAATGATTAACCAAATCAAATATAGATATGTAGCTATTACTCACTTTTGCTATCTAAATGATGTTTGATGGCACAAAAAACAGAATATTGCAAACCTTTCCACCAAATAATTATGATTCTAGCAATTTGTATGCTTTTGATATGTACGCTGATGCTTACATGTAATTACAGATGTTTGGATACGTTATCACAGAGCAATAATACATAATCAGGACTCAGATATAACTTACAGATTTGGTATGCAGCAGCACCTCTAATTAAACTGACTTGTACTTGATATCTTGATTTGGAAGCCATAGCCGGTGTTGACTGCTTATACACATTGTGTTGACAGAATGTCAACAATATGGCCGCCGGGGTGCTTTTTTTGTTTGTTTGTTTTGTGAATGCTGTCTATACAAACAGCAACCTAGTCTGGGGTTTGTTAAAACGGAAAACAGTGGCAGCAGCTCTATACGAGGCCTCTTTACTGGAGTCACTGAAAAACTGCTACAAAGTAAAATGTATGCTACTAGATCTGTCTCAAGCTTCAAGTTAAACATGGAATATTTAGTAGAAACTTCAGATGTCTGTGTTTAATTTAATGACAAAAAAAATGTTCATGCAGATCACCATTAGCTTACTGCTACTAGAATGCCATAAGGACATTAGCAGAGGTTAGCATTATCATAGAGGTGCGTTTTTTATGCATGTTTTGGCCAGTTTTGACATTTTTGGCCTGAATTGAATGGTTAGCTCTAATAGTCGTAGTTCACCACTGGGTAAAACAAAGGAAACATTAAAATGTGCAGTACATTCAAATCCAACAAACTGCTGAACTGTCACCTCCAAGACTCTGACTGGGATATAGATGGTATAAAAGTATGAAAATAGTACATGAGAAGCTAACAGAACAAAGAAAACACAATAGAATAGAGTTCAATACAACAGAATATAATGAAAGACTGGAAGAAAGAAAAAGTTGAAGGCGTTGAGCACATCTTATAAGTGTTCTACACAGTTTGTAGGCTCTGTAAAGTAAATGTATTCAAAAGTCATAAAGTGGTGATCCAGAATAAAGGCCAGATATTGATTTTTGCCTGTTAGATGAACTGCCCTCTAGCACTTAAACCTGGCCTGCCTTTGTATTACACGCTTTATTCATCGGCTCTCCAACTTCCACATTGCTCTCAGAGTCGTCTCTCTCATTACTCCAGTGCTCCATTGGCGTTTTTGCAGGGTGGAATGGTGCAATGCCTGAGATTGTCAGGATTTCACTAACATCACGTCCACACTGGCTCACATGGAAAGTTTTGTATCCTAGCAACACATACTCAAGCAGCGGTGGTGGGTTTCAGAACAGGATGGTGAAGAGGCTCACACAGAATGAGCTGATGAGCTGTTTATATGTAATCAGAGATGGTTTGGAAAGATACGGAGCTTGTAGAGGAGCAGTACAGGGTCAACCACCTGTCTGCTCTGATGAAGGGCAGGTCTAATTATTTTCCATTCCATTTGTGTTGTCCAAATCAGCGACACAGTTTCGGTTTGTAATCAGTGTAATGTGCTTTCTGATATTTTACAGAGAGAGAGAGCGAGACAGATACTTAATAGTGGCTGATTTCACTGGCGCAAAACTAAAATTTTATATCCTGATTGCATGAACATGGCTTCACAACGACCTGAACGATTAAGTGTTTTAATCTCAAAATCGCGATTTGAAAGACTCTAAAATTTCACTTTATAAAACAGATCTGGGAACTGGTAGTCTGGCACACCACATTCAGCAATTAGGACTGAGGCCTGAAGAAGTGGATGTGGTTAAACTATTGAAAATAATCACATTTAAATCATAACCACAATATGGGTTGATATTTTTCCCAAATCATTCAGTCCTACTGTTGATGTTCAGCTAACTTTTATAAGGATGTTGTTTAATCTAATATATAGCACATCAGCTCAACATTTACCAGCCACTTTATCAGAAACACCTACTTTGTAGCTCCACCTTGTTTACTGAAAAAATGCTATATATAATATATGCATTTATATCGCAAATCTTGACGTTTCGGTCATTTTTCCAAGTGAAATTATCTCAGTATATTGACAAATAATTTAGCTTGCTTCAAGAAAATTGCAAAATGATCTGTATATATGTAGTGAGATAGGTTCACTTGGAAAAATAACTTTAAACAAGTAAAGATAGATAGATAGATAAAATCTTATATCTAAATCTTATATTTAAATCTAAATCTTATAGGTTATCTGTTGATGCACAGTTTGTGTCAGCTATCCTCTATGGTCTTCCTCAATGGTCAGTTTCTGACTGCAAATTTGCTCTTGGCTGGATATTTTTGGATGATGGAGCTCTTTCAGCCTGGCAGTGATATTGATGTGTGTACAAATCCCAGCAAAACCGCTGTGTCTGATACATTCATACAAGCACCAGTGTCACTGCTGAGCTGAGAATGATCCACCACCCAAATAACATTCCATCAACAGCGGTCCTGTGGTCAGAAACTGACAAATTGTGCCTGTAAACAGATGGGCACAGAAGTCTGCAATTATACTTACAAAGTGGGCCTGTAAGGTAGGTTGTTTTCAAGCCCAAGCTAGAAGTTTCTAATAAAGTGGCCAATGAGTGGATGTACAAAGTAGGTGTTTCTAATAAAGTGGCCAGTGAGTGAACGTACAAAGTAGGTGTTTCTAATAAAGTGGCCAGTGAGCGGAAGTACAAGGTAAGTATTTCTAATAAACCGGCCAGTGAGTAGAAGAATAAGGTAGGTTTTTCTTATAAAGTGGCCTGTGAGTGGAAGCACAAGGCAGATGTTTCTAATAAAGTGGCTGTTAAGCATATTATGCATGCAGTGACCCACCACTGAATGTAGTGCTGTTTAAAATTTGCAGGACATGTCACATATGTGATAGACATCTTGATCTTTATCTACATTTGGCAAAGATAATGATGGAAATAAGAGGAAGAGGAGAAGAAGGAGTGAGAGAGTCAAAGAGAGAAAGAGAGAGAGAGAGAGAGAGAGAGAGAGGGAGAGAGAGGGAGATGGGGCGATCACTGATGATTATTATGACCCTGTATTTGCCCCCTCCTCCCCAGAGTTGGCCCTCATTTATTTCCTCCTTTTACATCTTTCATTTCTAATTTCATCCTAATTCAGAGTTTTCCAGCAAATGTGTGAAATGACATTTAAAATGATTTCAAAAAGTGTCCTTTTTTATTATTATTATTCCCAGCTGAGAAACGGCCATAATATTCTCTATCTTCATTATGTCTTCAGGGGCCATTAAATCGTTCCAGTACACTTTCTCCATTTATCTGCAGGAGAACATGTTACCATCATGTCCTGATCTCAGAACGACAGTTATCAGCAGTGTGATCTCCGCTGTTATGTACACTGTGTCTGCCACACAGATTTTTCCTCCTCAGCCAAGTCATTTGTTTTGGTAATCATAACACATTTGTGTTGAATATGAACAGAAAACATTTTAAGTGATATATGTATCCAGTATTGTATCTTAGCATATCACAAAGCCAACAGAGACACTCAATAATGCTCTCTTTTACAGTCCCTTAAGTTCTAGGTATTAACCAGCTAAGTGTGAGGTCCAAACTCTAAAGTACTAGATAATTATTTTAGGAAACATGATGGCAGGTTTTAAGGTAGACTTGTTAAATTTTACTGAAATTTCCAACAGGTTATAAGTATTAAGTGAGTAAATGTGTGGTACAAACTCTGAACTGCTGTGTGATTATATTAGGTAAAAAGGACAGAATAGTAATATGATGTAAAACGGTTGTACGTGAATAAAGTTCAGTGAGTCTTACATAGTATGTACTAGTTTATCTATAATGAATGCATTAATCTGGGCTGTAAAATAATGCATTGATTCTTAC